ATGTAACTAAAAAAATTGAAACAGTAAAAAATGTTAGAAAAATACTTCAAAATAAAAAACAGACACAAAAATTATATACTATAGAAAAAATATATATTTGTTATTGCATGGTAGGTTGTTACGTTTTGTCAGTACACAACTGTTTGTAACTTTCCTGTCTGTGCATTATATTCAATTGTTGTTTTAAAATTGATATTGGTTTATTATCATACTATTATCTTATTATTCATCATTTTTTTATCATCATTATTACTATCATTATTATTTGTATTATCAATCCTATTTTATGGTATTTACTTAGTATTAGTTTTTAACTATGTGTAAATGACCTCGATTTTAGTATCTTTTATCGAAAAACATATTGATTGATATCCACTTTACATGAAAAATAGCCACTAAATTTTTTTTCATCAATAGATTTAACAACATGATACAATTTATTTATCGTTAGAAATAAAATTTGCAATAAAAAGACTAAAAGTATTTCAGAAAATAAAATGCAAGTAAATGATGAAAATTTTTTTTTAAAAATACATTACATCATAATCATTGAAAACAAATTTGATGATGTCATTCATATAATCAAAGTCATTTTTTTAAATTATTATCTGTGGAATGTATTATTTCAAACAATATTAATATAATATTGTTATTATTAAAAAAAAAAAAACGCTTGAGACACAACATAATAAATAATAAAACGATAATGAGCATTTTGTTATCAGGAACAAAAATAAACTATGTACAAACTTCAACAAACTATAATAAAAGGAGCAAGGCACAATTGAGAAAACTGTCATTTAAAATTGCGACATGTTCAACTTTTCCTAAATTTATTGCTAAATATTCCAAACAGACTTGAATCAAAAGGATAAGTAAAAAATTTGATTTTGTCAAAAAATGCCAGTACACAACATAGGTAGACTTGTCATAAATGCAAATACTTTTCAGTACACAAATTTTGTTGTTTAACACAAATATTGCCACGTGTTGCTTTAAGATAGAGATTTGGTAACTAAACATCATTATATGGTATACACTATACACACAGACAATACAATATACACATACACTTATACATACAATATATTGAATATAGTATAAATTTTAAAATGATATTTTTATGAAGGAAAAACGTAAATAGTACAAGACTAGTTCAAACCAGAGACTATTTAAAATGCAAAAGAAAAATAAAACAACATATATATATATATATATATATATATATATATATATATATATATATATATATATATATATATATATATATATATATATATATATATATATATATATATATATATATATATATATATATATATAATTTAAATAAAGAAAAACAACATTATAGTAGTATTTCAAGTTTCGTGCCTTTCGTCAATCATCAGCTATTAATTACAACCAAAGCTGTAATTAATAGCTGATGATTGCCAAGTAACTTTGAGTAACTTTATAATGTTGGTTTTCTTTATTTAAAATATATATATATATAAACATATATATATATATATATATATATATATATATATATATATATATATATATATATATATATATATATATATATATATATATATATATATATATATATATATATATATATATATATATATATATATATGTCATATGATCCCATCTTGATACATTTATATATATATATATATATATATATATATATATATATATATATATATATATATATATATATATATATATATATATATATATATATATATATATATGTATCAAGATGGGATCTTATAAATGGGGCATATTGTATTATTGTATCTTAAAATTTTTTTATATATGTAAAGAAATATTTTTTCTAAATTTCAAGCATTGAATAAACTTTTGGTAATGTGACTTTTCCATTTTAGATTTGTTGACATTGTAATTCCCAGATCTTTTTCAGTATTAAAGACTGCTATCATTTTGAGTCCTAGTTTATAAATATAGCAAAGGCTAAGTTTTGTAAAGCGCATAATACTACATTTTTAACTATTTAATTGTAAATGCCAGATTTTTAAACATTCTCAGACTCGGTTAATTTTATTCTGATGCAACTGACATTTCTCAAAGCAACGAATTTCTCTTCTATTTTCCAAAATGACTTGGTATCATCTGCAAAAAGTGTAAGTGTTCTAAAACCTCGGGTAAACCGTTGATATATAGAATAAATATATTTGGAGAATTCGCCTTGCCTTGGGGAAACACCGCTTGTTTTCAATTTCGACTTTGATACTTTATTCCATTGTATCACTCTTTGTTGTCGATTATTCAAAATGTTGTAAATAATATTTAAACTTTTGTACTTATTGAGATTGGTTTAAAAAAATATAAAGACTTTTAACATTAAAAAATATATATTATTAAAAAGCCGTATTTTAAACTTATTGTGTTTAGTGTGAATTACTGCGCCATCAGATGATTGTATAAAATAAAGTATAAAGCTATTACTAAAATAAAGTATAAAGCTATTACTAAAATAAAGTATAAAGCTATTAATCTAAATGTAGCTCACATTAAATTTTTTATTTGAGTTTGCGAATCCATAAAATTTCTATTTTATGGACTAACAGATTCTATTTAAATTTTATAACCTACTTATATTAAAACCATTCTTTTAAAATAAAATATTCCCGGATAAAATCCCTGCGAGAAAAAATCCCTCTGGAAAAAATCCCCCGAGAAAAAATCCCCCCAGAAAATACCCCCTACAATAAATTTTTTTTTAACTTAAAAATTATCAATATGTAGTTATGTTTATTTCTTTATTTATTTTAAATATATAATTAAAATACTTGATATTTCATCAAAATGTCAAGTTATGCGCTATTCCTCGAAGGTAGCGAATGTGAAACCCTAACCCTTACCCTAACCCTGACGATCTGCGAACTGGTAAAATATGAACTTTTTTGCGAACCATAATAGTTAATTTAGCGGTATACTTTTAGGAATTTTAAGAGAAAAAATTGTTTGAAAAAAAAATAGTTTTTAAAAGTATTCGCAGAACAGTTTTTCTGTTTGTTTACTTGCATTAATTTAAATTAATTAACTTTTTTAGTAAAATTAAAAAAAAAAAAAGAAAACTATATTAAAACTAGTTGAACAAGTAAATAGTGAAGATTATGTTCAATGAAGACAGATGCACAAGTTTTAATGAAAAAGTCTTATCTTTAAATCAATGAAATTTGCCAAAGTTACTTTAAAAAACCTGTTTCTTTTAACAAATATGTAATTATCACCAACTAATTTTAAATGTCTATTCTTCAAATGTTTTCCATATTTTTTATATTTATATTTTTCTTGCTGAGATCTCATAAATATTTAATTTTTCTGCTAAAATGGTTTTAGGAATGAGGATTACATTTGGAATACTTTGTTCTTTGTTTCTAATTATTTTTATAGCTTTATAGTCATTTCTTTATTGTTTAAAGTAAATAAAGAACTTGAAAAGCTTATATACTGCAGAGAAAATAGAATTCTTGTTATCTTGAAATTAAGTTAAAACATTTATAAATCAGTATGTTTAATTAGTTAAAACAAAAAAAAAATTAAAAAATTCCGTTCGTAAAGAGAACAGAAACAGCCTCATATGCGTTATATAAGAAAATACAGAAAATATTTTGTTTTTACGGTCATTTTATATTTAGTATTCGTTTTTAAATTTTTAATGACTTCAAATATACGAATTGACATACTGGTCACAAGAGTCTAGCTCAGTTCCAATATGGATTCAAATTGCTAACCATTTTCATAAACCTTTCTAGAAAGTATTCTTCTAGATTTTCGATTGGGTTTGGAACTGTACTTCAAGTGGGCCATTCCATTCCATTAATATTTTTTCTCTACTTTAGCTTTTTCAAAATTTGAACTATGGATAGCAGCATTGTTTTGTTGTAGAGTGAAATTTTTACCCATTAATTCTTCACCATGTTAAAGTAAACTAATTTCTAATAAGTTAATGTAGTCCTGTGAATTCATTTTTGTTGAAATCCATGACAGTGGAAGTTTTCCAAAGTAAAAATTCCTCTAATCTATAGCAGTTCCACTACCAAAGTTAAGAATTGTACGAGTATCTTCTTCTTTTTCAATATTGTACCAGTAATATTATAGCCATCAGGATCATCTAGATTGAACTTTTTTTCATCGCTAAAAAGAACTTGATGCAACTATTACTGCCAAGCCATGTGTTCTTTTGCAACTTTTAATCAACCTTCTTTATGACAAACATTATGTTTTGGCTTTGGTTTATGCTTTTTCCAAACTGTGTTTGGATCATCATGTAAAATTTGTTTTACGCGTTGAACAGTTACAAGTAATTGTAAATCAGCACGAATTCGAGATGCATCCATGTTCAATAGCTCGTTTACTATAGTAATCAATTTTACGTTTTCTTTCACTTTCTTTGTAAGTTCTATAACAAACGCCCATCTTCAAGTAATTAAAAACCATTTTTGAAAATATTTTAATGTTCTATGCAGTTTTCCGATTAGATAAGCCTGTATCTTTGTATGCTTTGATTACAGCTTCATTTTTTAAATGCTTACCACGTCCGAACTTAGGTCACCAAAAACCAAATTCTAAAAACGTTATGAGCACTGATTTCACAGCCCGATTAATTCATATATAACAATAAAAAATTAAGTTACAAATCAAAAAATCACCAGATCAAAATATATAAGTAAACAAAAAAAATTATTGATGAGGCCTATTTTATGTGTTATCGCAATATTCAAGTATACATTTTATGGTTTTATCAAATGTTACACAATTTAGTTATGCTATATTATAACCTAAAAAGTTGTTGTTTTTAACAATAATTATATATGTGTGGATACAAATATGCACTATACATTTTTGCTTACAGGTTTACAATATATTGGATTTGAACATGGTGGGGCCAAATCTAATATCTCCACTGTAAATCTGTTAAGTCTAAGCAGTTCTTAAACTGTCATTTAGTTTTGAATTCTTTTAAATTACTTAACTCATTAAAGTGATCATTTAGTTGTTGACCCTTGGTCATCGTCAAGAAAGGTAACTTGTTTGTTTAGTACTAATTTGTGTAAAAACAATTTATCTATATATTTTACCTAATAATGATAGTATTATTTGTAATGATAATAAGTAATTATTATATTTATTATTATTTTTTAAACTAATTTACTTCAAACAAAGCTGAATGCAGACACTGTTGAGTTAATAGCGTCTTCGATATAAATATGTCAACATAGTTACAGTAATTGTTTGCATTAAATAACTGACTTTTCTTCGAGTTAATTCACAAGCCACTGCAAACTCCAAACTGTTATACAAGAAAGAAAAATTTAAGATTGGCTGTCTGTTCTAAATAATGGAAAAGTAAAGACTTTTTTTAGAACATGAGTATGAAGTCGCTAGCAAGTAAAGCTACTTTAAATAACAGTTTGTCTGGAGGATTCTTAATGTAGATAAGTAAAAATGCAGGACCAAGGATAAAACTTTGTAATACCCCATAAATTACAGAACACGAAGAAAAGTGTAGGCACTTGAGGACAACTTTATTAAAGTGTTTAAAAAGAAATGATTTAATAATCTCAAAAACATTTCAAGATACACCATACAAGGCAAGTTTATGAAGAAGACCAACATTTCAGATAATCAAAAATTTTAGATATATTAAGAGCAATGACTCTAGCATCAAAGTCTCCACCTAATACTGAGGTCTTTAAAGATAAGTTGGATATTGCAGATAGAGAGAATTTGTCAGACACGCAGTATGAAGCAAGCTTATGGAGTAGTTCATCTTGCCGAATCTTATTGAAAAATTTTGATATGTCAAGAGCAATAGCTTTTGCCTTGCCGTCCCTGTTTAATAAAACTAGTCTGTTACAGCAGTTAGCTATACCAGTCAACAAGTCAACCATAGATCAAGAAGATAAAAATATTTATTGATTTTCTGAGTTAAGAAGAAACGCCAGAATTTTTTTTTTTTAGATTCAAAGACCTTGCTTTTGAATGAAGAGAAGCTTGCAATCGGAAGATGAATGGAGGAGTCAGAGTGTTCTCCAGAATTTTCAAAAATTAAAACTAATAATGTCATTTTCCTGCATGTAGGAAAACAAATTTCAGTCAAGCACTTATTAAATAATCTAGAAAGAATTGAATACAATTCTGGAGAACACTTTTGTAAGTCTATGCAAAAATCTATTTTGGACCACATGCTGTGGAAAGGTTTAATTAAGAAATAACTTTACCAAAGGTAACCAAAGTAATTTGGATATCTAACAATATGTTAACTTGTTTAGCTGATTTGCGGGACAATTGTTGTCATTTTATTTGAGGTACAAGTTTCTATATTAGTTATACTTTGAAGAGATTATAAGATTAGATCCATATATTTGATAACTAGTATTAGACTACCTTTTTTAATGAGAGTGTTAATATTTTTCTAGTCTCTATAATCTAACTCCTGAAATAAGATACGAGAGTGACTAAGCTAAAAATATTAGAGCTTAGCATTAGACAAAAGTTTTTTACATTTACATTTACTTTTTTTACATTTTTTTCACATTTTACATTTTTTTACATTTTTTTATATTTACATTTACTTTTTTTACATTTACATTTACTTGCAATATTATAGAGACGCTTGATTTCAAGAGTTGCTCTTTTGAAAAAAATGATTACAATTAGATGTACCAACTGCACAAGAAAAGGAAAACGGTTGAGTAGAGCCAGGGTTTGTTTGAAACCAACAAGATAGAATAAAAACTTGTTTTTTTTTTCGCATATTTATTTTGAACTACAAAGTATTTACAAGTAACCAATCACAAATTGGCGGTAAAGATATGCAAACATAAATATCATAAACCTAAAGTACAAAATATACGAAGTAAACAAAAATAGAGTTGCATACAACTCCAAGACACGATTAAAATAAACACCAATTACAACAATGTAGTAACGTGTACGTAAAAATAATCCGATAAATATATCTCTTTATTATTCCAGTTAAAATAAAATAATACAATAAATAAAAATAAATTAGCTGATTTTTCGAAAAAGCGTTTCGACTATAAATTTATTTAACACATTTCAAACTTATGTTTGAGTATAAATGTAATAAAAACGAAATTTGTGTAGAATTGATAAGAAGAATTACTTGTTAGTAGTTATAGGATGCTTGCAGAAGACTTAAGTCAGTTTTGTCATCGAGTATCTTTTTCTGGATGTATAATACACATAAAAGTCAGTTGCATACGTGGTATATATATATATATGTTGTTATTAATATTATTCAATTTGTATTAAAAGTTAAGCTACATTTTTTTTAATTTTTTTTTTATTATTATTTAAAAAAAATTCCATATATTTGTTTAATTTGATTAATGTCAATTTTAGTTTATTTTCAGAGAGTGTTCGTTGTTTAGATTTAATAGTTATTTGTTTCTGGAAACTAATTTGTTAAATAAATAGGGACCACCATATATAATTGAGAATTTTAAGAATCTTGTTGTTTCAAACGGTAACTTAAATTTGACTGTTACTCTATTATTGTATTTATTTATATTATTTTTAAAAAAGTGTGCTGTAAAATGTTCTGGAACCAGATTTACTTTATACTTAAACATGAAAAGTATATTCTGAAAAATATTTATTGGAAATATATTTACAGTTCACTTGTTCCAATAAAGGTTGAGCATGAGCAAATTTATTTTTGTTGTATATTAGTCTTGAAGCGTGTTTTTGACGTAGGTATAGTGGTTCTAATTTAGATTTGTGGGTACTGCTCCATGCTATATTAGCATACATCAGGTAGTTATGTATGAATGAAAAGTAGATAAGTTTTAGACTTTTTTGTGACAAAAATGGTCTTGCTTTGTATAGCAAACCAATGTACTTTGATATTTTTGTGTTAATGTAGTTTATGCGGGGTTTCCAGAAAATATTTTTGTCAATTAGAACTCCTAAAAACTTCGTATTCAGAACTCTTTTGATGGTTATATTTTCTATATTAAGTGTTGGTAGGTTCAGGGGTGTTTTTTTAATTTGTTGATTAGAGTGAAATAGTATATACTTAGTTGTTTTTATATTGATTGCCAGTTTATTGGATTTAAACTATATATTAATTTTATTAAGTTCAGCATTCGTTTTTTCAAAAAGGTCTTCGATTCTCTTTGCTGAGTAAAATAAGTTTGTGTTGTCGGGAAACATTATAGTTTTAAAGATATCAGATGCATTTGGAAGATCGTTTATATAGATAAGAAACAAAACTTAGTTCCTTGCCTGCCTATATACATGAGATTATGTAGGCGGCGCATTAATCAGAAAGAAAAAATATTAGCAAAAGAATTGAAGTTTATAAAAGGAATCTCAGTCACCTTTATGGTAGTAGTAAGTAGTGCAATGAGAGGGTGAGTTGAAAGAAGAAAATAAAGTAAAAAACTTAGAGAAGAAAATATTAAAAACTTAGTGAGCTGAATAGAATCTAGGGTCACAAATCAAGAAGTGAAGGTTAGTGATTAGGTTTGGTAAGAAAGCGAGTCATAAAGTTAACTATCTGAGTTTGATATTAAGAAATACAGAGTTTTAAGCTTTAGTGTTATCTAGGTCAGCGGTGTTAGAGTCAGGCCATTTATTGTAATAAGTAATAAGTTACCAATGACAACAATACAAAAATAAAGGTATAAAGATAAATAGCATAGGTAATTGATCACAATTTACATATAAAGAAATGCAGTCTTATGAAGAATGATAAACAGCAAAAAAAAAAAAAGGCATTTGAATGAAAAGGTGCTAAACAAAACCTCATAAAAGAATGGTCAGAGGATTCAAAACTAATTTCACAGCAATAATGTATATTTATATACCCAGGCTAACATTTAACTATTGGAAACTTTTGCAAAGATAAATAAAACGAAGATAAAATAGCGAAGTTAAATAGTTTCACAAAGAGCGAGTCTGTCAAAATTTGCCAAAGTAAGATTTAATTGATGAAAAGTTTGAAAACCATGAGTATTGGTAAAGGATTTACACAGCTAAATGGTGTTGATGGATTTATACTTTTAATGTTTGTAGGTGCTTTATTCATGTTTTTTGTGTAAGAGACTCGGCTCAGCTAAAGAGTATGGTGCCTCATGCAATGTGCTTTGCAGTTGCTACAGTTTTGCTAATAATATCAAATTTGCAACAAATGAGTCTTTATGTGAACTTGAAAATAAAAACTAAAAGTACAAATAGAGACACTATCCATAAGCAGAATAACACTGTTAATACTTAATATTTTACAGCTGTTGATGTAGCCAAAGAGTTCATACAAAATTACTACCAACCGCTTCATAAATATGTGCCAAATAATAAAGAAGAAGATTATCTTCTTTTTTTTTTACTAATATTATCTAAACTTAAGGAAAAATATGCCAATATTATCTACAAGAGCATTTAGAAAGTAATTCTACGTTGATTTGTTTTCAGTTTAGATATTTTAAATATAAATCTGCAGTTACATTGCAGATTGAAATTTAAAATAACTAGACTGAACAGTTATACTGCAGAGATAAATTTAAAATATCTAATTCTGAGACGTATATACACTTTATTACGCAATATGCAGTTATACTGCTAACCAATGATATAAGGAAAAAAATTTACATGAAATTTTTATGCTTTTCCTCGGTGCTCTGTGATGCGACCATTAGGTGTTCTTGGAGCACCTATAAAAACCACAGAAAAAATGTGTATATATATTTTTGAATTACATTAATACGTTTTGACCGAGATTTGTTTACAACAAAAGATGAAAGTTCTAAACCCAATATTTTAAGGAAACCATTTTTGATTTGGATTTATTTGATCCAAGGACCCAGTAATAATATTTTTTAAAAAAACATCGATACCGAAATGAGGTAAAATTAATCTCAAAAATCAACTAAAAATCACTTTGCAAAAGCCAAAGTGTTAATTTATCAATCGTGAACAGTGAAAGATAGAAACAAAATATTTCTTAAATTATTTAACACAGTGTTTAATTGGTACAGGAAAACATTAAGAAAATA